AAGAGACAAAAGCTTAGCTCAACACCCTACTAAAAATATTACATGGTACTTGGGAAACATCAGAAATGACCAGCTCCTTGTTGAGGGAATGACTGCACTCCTCAGCTAGCTTCTAGTCCTCATTAGATGCCAAGGTTTCATCCTCTTCCATCTCTCAATCGTGAATTTTCATGTGATCCTCTGATACAAGAATATCCAAGACTACCAGGACTCGACACGGTGAACTATCGCCATGTGCTCATTCTTGAGTGCCAAAGGTGATGAGAGCACCCAGCTTCAGCTATAAGTTTTGGCTAATCACCAAGACCATTTGGTATGAATGCTTATCCTATCCGGCTCTCTCCTCCAAGCCGTTGCTGACACTGGGGGCGTGGACGTGTTCATGAAACTTGTTTTTCTAGTTGGGAAATGCTGTTAGCCTGGAAAGAGCGGGAGGCATCGGCCGCAACACGTGTCAAGCAAAATAGTAGACGCGAGTTCTCCTCGCAGAGTACACCGACGGACTGCGGGAGCAGGTACATATGCATGTTCATGAGCTCGAATGGGGAAAGTCGATGGTTCAACGCATGGCCATCTACTGAGCATCTTGAACCAGTCTCGCCAGGATGCCTTGATGAGACATTGGAAGCCAGTCGGCGGCGCCATTCACCATTCAGCGCCAGGGAGAGCACGAACAATGCAGAACCAATACTACTCCGTACCGGACCCCGAGCCTTTGGATATAACGGAAACAGCATTACTCTCCCTCGCAGAGTACAATCCCTAGAGTTTGCTTGCGGCCTGCACGTGTGTGGCCGCGAACGGGTTGGGCTTGGCGCTCTTGCCGTCAAGTTGTGAGGCAATCAGGCCCCAGATGTCCAGCGGGGACACCACAAGCCAGGGGTTCGTTCTACCAAGAAGTTATGCACCAGAATTAATGCAACATCGATTCTTCCCTGGCAAGACGGGGTACTAGTAGTATATTACCCGTCGGCGACTAATAAGTGAAGGAGCCACTTATTAGACGTGACATTCTTAGCGATTGCACTGCCAGCATGTGGCGGGCCGAGGGCATCGTGCTCTGACACAACTTGACCGTTTTGAGACAGCATGTGAGGCATAGTAACACAGAGCAGGCTGGACAGTGAAACAATGTGAGCATTCAATTATGCGATATGGCTCTGATAATTCCATTGCGGCCGCTAATGGTATAAGCGGCGCACAGGCACTACCTCTCTACGTGGGGGAGCACTGAGTGCCACGTACGCATGAGAACCGTGACATGCAAATTTAGCATTCCTTGTATAAAGTTGTGTGATACAGGCCGAACGACGGGGTTCAAGATTGAAGCCTGCTTAGTGGCAGGGCTTCTAAATTCGGCACGGAACTGTTCCCCGTGGAGTTAGGGTAGAACTTGGGAGATACTCAGTTCAGTCCAATATTGCAGCCCCCCGGCGGCGAGAAATGATGGGCAATAAGCCAGTCCCAGGTACTCCATAGCCTGTCCGAAGTACCTCCCTCAAAGTTAAGCTTTGCCCAAGTGCCCAGTTGCCGGCATCAATTGATCCCATTGAAAATTTTGATGGGCCCCCTTGGCTCCCCGGCGCTCCGGGCCTGTCAGCGGGAAAGCCCCAGTGCCAACTCCCGTCGACAATTTGCCCAACAGGCACGCAACAGTTGACCAGGTACCTAATACCTTGCTATTGGCCCCATGGCTTGGCCTGGCCCTCCGAACTTTAGAACATTGCATGCACCAGTTGACCATTCCGCTGCATCCTGAGGTCAACTTCAGTGCCTGTCCATACCCGTTGCGCCAGTGAAACTAGACGCCACGAGGAACCACGCCTCACCATTTGTCCCTTTCCCGTCCGCTGCTCGTTTTTCCTGCAATCAATGTTCCCATTGATAAGCTGTTGTCCAAACTCTCTGCAACACGGCCGCCTTGTTGTTCTGCAGCTGGCATTGCATTGAATTAGCTTGATGTGATTGTCAAGGCAGGAACCGGTCTCATCCATCTCTTCTTCTTCTTCTTGTCTTTCTCGAGTCTCCATTTGACTCCATCGCTCGTTTGTGCCACCTCATCATCGTCCACGCAATCGCCATCCCGAAACCCCTGGCTCCCACGACCCAAAGGAGCTGATTTTTGAGAGCACGAGACGATCCGATTCCGCGCACGATATATTCCGTACTGCCCGTTGATTTACTATAAACTCTTTGCAAATCCTTTCGATCCGGCTGTGGCGCATTGCCAACATCCCAATCGCCCAAAATGCTTCTTCCTAAAGGTGGTTTGAGTTGGAAAGCCGCCAGAGCACAATTGCCGCCCACCCGCGTTGTCTGGAACCTAGTTACACGGACGCGCTTCTTGCTTCTCGTTGCAGTCACTGGCATCATTTTGTTGCTATGGCGAGGTATTAGCAGCTCAGCGTCGGAAATGCAGAGGTAGGACAATGCGATGCAGATCCCTCCCGCCCAGCGTTTTTGCTGCAGCATTGAGTCGACGTGACTGACAAATGACGGCCGTGTAGCTTTTACTGCTGGGGACCGTCAACACCTCCGATAGAGATGTCGCAGAATGAGTATTCCCGGTGGAATGCGCACATGCAAACACCTGTCATCTTCAACCACCACGCTCCTCTCAAGGTCCAGTCGCCGACGATACAAAACGTCGACTTGAACCCAATCAAGTCTACCCGAAAAGCCGTTGCAAACGAGGAGAGAATTCTCATCCTTACCCCGCTCAAGGACGCCGCGTCTCATCTTTCCAAATACTTCGAGCTCCTTGCCGAGCTTTCCTATCCTCATCGACTGATTGATCTAGCCTTCCTCGTCTCCGACTCCAAGGATGATACCCTGGCGGTCCTTGCGGCCGAGCTCGAACGTATTCAGAAGCGACCGGATAATATCCCATTCCGAAGTGCTACTGTTGTTCAGAAGGATTTCGGTTACCACCTTAGCCAGGATGTTCAGCAGAGGCACTCGTTCGAAGCTCAGGGTCCTCGCCGAAAGGCCATGGGCAGAGCCAGAAACTACTTGCTTGCTAGTGCTCTGAAGCCGGAGCACTCTTGGGTCTACTGGCGGGATGTTGATATTGTCGACAGCCCCGCTAAGATTCTTGAGGATTTTATTGCCCACGACAAAGATATTTTGGTTCCTAGTAAGTCATAAGGGTTCTGCGCTACATTTACGCTTTTGAAATTCTAACAACTTCCGTCTAGATATTTGGTTCCACAGATACGAGAAGGGTGTCGATATCGAAGGTCGATGTATGCTGTTTGCTACCTTGGTGACTCCGACGCACAGAAGCTAACATGATATAGTCGATTACAACTCGTGGGTTGAGTCGGACAAGGGCCGCAAATTGGCGGCTAGTTTGGACAAGGATACCGTTCTCGCCGAGGGTAAGTCGTACCATGTTATGCAATCTCTGAACGAGTACTCACATGTCTATAGGATACAAACAATACGATACTGGTCGTACTTACATGGCAAAAATGGGAGACTGGCGAGAGAACAAGGATGAAGAGATTGAGCTTGACGGTATTGGTGGTGTGAACATTCTTGTCAAGGCCGATGTTCACCGATCCGGTGCGTATACATGTTTTTTTATTGGAAAAAGTATAGGCTGACTGATTCATAGGCGTCAACTTTCCTTGCTACGCTTTTGAGAACCAAGCCGAAACGGAAGGTTTTGCCAAGATGGCGAAGCGAGCCGGCTACCAGGTTGTTGGTCTCCCCAACTATGTCGTCTGGCACATTGATACCGATGAGAAGGGCGGCAACTTATAAACAGAAGCAAGCCTGTCAACACGGTTTGACGGATGAAACCGGAAACCGTCAAATACCATCAAAATACGATTCACATGTCTGATATTTCGCATGGACTGATTCAGAAGGGTCTCCTCGACTGGTTAATGGTGGAGAGACAGATTATTGTATGAGCGTTCATGATACTTTTTCCAAAATTCTCGAGGGCGCAGGTTGGCTGTAATTGATGGACCGAGGCTTTTCCTTTCAACTCTTCTTGATTTTTGGAGCCGACGATATATTTGTGGCCTACATTGTTGTTGTTGCAGGGTTGTTCTGGCTTGATGGATGGTGGAAGGAACTGGTGTTTTTTGTTCCATGATGCTGGGCTGTGGAACGACAGGCCATCCCTTATTTCCATGACTGCTGGACGCCGACATTTTCATACATTAGGAGCCTTTGCGTTTTTTGTTTTTTCCGTCTTCATAGTCCTAATCGACTATACTGTGGGTCTGTTTGAAGATATTGCTTTTGGGTGTAGATGACTACTGTAAAGCAACGGGGGTTTAAACATAATAGACACAAAAATGATTTGATATATTGCCTACTGCAGCCTGTGTACATAATCTTGCCCATTCGCTTGCTTGCTGGGGGTGTCATATGTTTCCTGGCCGAGTCCGGTATGGCTGGCGTCACATGACGAACGGGTGAAACACGGCTAAACATTGATGAAGTGGCCAATGACCCAACCCTGAGCGTTGCTGGGCAAGAGTGCCGTCATCAGCCAGTTGACCCGCTGATAGATGCGTCCCGCTTGTCCTGGACAGGCAGCGATGCCGCCACATGCGGTTCATTTTACTGCTCTGCAGCCTTCATTGCCCATTGTCCGTAGATTATTGCCTACGCATCCCTCGTACCGCCAACTGCAAAATCAAGTAGAGTTACGTCTTTACGTCGATCTACGGCCATCTACGGCAGAGCGGGATTTGCCTGAAGGCATTTATTCCGCTGCCTTGACAACGCCTACCGCCTACCCCGACTTCGCTCGTCGAGAACCCGACCAAGTTCGCCTCACGATTTGTGTCAAGAATACCCCACCAAACGACTCTGGCACTCACATTCACGCGACGGAATCACCCAACCGAGGCCGACGGCTCTGACCCTACAATACCTCGACCACTGACGAGAACGAGAGTTTATTGTAGATACTCGCTCCTTCCTTTCACAACACACACGTAGCTTCTGAGCCGTTATCTACAACCCGGACATTCGACATGTGGAGCTGGTTCGGCGGTGGTTCCGCCCAGTCTCGCAAAGACTCTCCCAAGAATGCCATCCTCAACCTCCGTTCGCAGCTTGATATGCTGCAGAAGCGAGAGAAGCACCTGCAGAACCAAATAGAAGAACAGCAGAATATTGCGCGCAAGAACGCCACTACAAACAAGAATGGTAAGGATTACAATGTGCAATGATGACTCCCTTTCTTCGGGCTATTGAGACCTGGATGATACAAGGCATGTCATGGGAACAAGAAGGGAATAGACACTGACCTTTCGTATTTGATTTTCAGCGGCAAAGGCGGCCTTGCGACGTAAGAAGGCGAACGAGCATACTTTGGATCAGACCTTGGCGCAAATAGGCACCCTCGAGACGCAGATCAATGCGATAGAATCGGCCAACATTAACCACGAGACTTTGCTGGCGATGCAGCAGGCGGGCAAGGCCATGGCGAATATTCACGGCAAGCTTACGCCAGAGAAGGTCGACCAGACAATGTGGGTGCACCTTGATATTCGACGAGCTTGGACCGTCATCATACGGGACGTCTTGGCGATGGATATGCTGACCTGGATTGGTATAGGGATGAACTTCGAGAGCAAAACGCACTTAGCGAGGAGATTGTCAATGCAATCACTTCGAATCATATTGGCGAGGTCATCGATGACGACGAGCTAGAGGACGAGCTGGACCAGCTTCAGCAGGAGAAGCTGGACGAGGATATCCTCAAGACAGGAAGCGTGCCTGTTGCAGATATTGTGCACAAGATGCCGTCAGTGGCAAACCAGGAGCGTAAGTCTGGCCAAGCTATTTGAAAAAATAATGACAGGTGGTATGCACAGTTGCTGACACGGATTACCAGCCGTTCCAAGCAGGAGCCAAGCTGTCGAAGAGGACGACGAAGAAGCCGAGCTCAGAAAGCTCCAAGCCGAAATGGCCATGTAAGGACGGAGCGTCAATGTCCGCAGTTTATCGCATAGCATATGTTGGCGAGCGTCGAGCAGCACAAGGAGAAGACTCGAAAGGATCACCGTCTCTTGCAGTATTTTACCGGTGTTCTGTGCTCATGGATGGATGGTGTTTGTCTGGCGTTGGCGTATCAGAGGTTATTTCCCTTTCCCGGTGTCTTTCTTTCCCTCCCCCTTTCTTCTTCAAGCATAGTTCGATGTGTGGGAGACAAATAGCACACTCGATGTGGTATTTCAGCAGGTGGTGGCTCTCCATGAATGTAAATCTGAAGGTTGAAATAGAAGACAATTACTCGTAAACTGCGTTCGTCTCAGCCACGAGACGTTGACGGAATGATTGGATCTAGCGGTCCTGCTACGAACAAAGGACGTCTGCATTTTTACAAACCAGGCCATGGGAGTTGCCGCCTAACCGGCGTCTACCATCAGAGCCAGGTGGATGAAAGCTGCGCCTCAAGCAAGAGTCACGGCCAGCCGGCGCCCCTCGTCCAAAACAGTGTTTCGAAACATGCGACTGCAGAAACGTAGAGAAACGGATCCCGCCCCCAGGCCTGGGCCCAGGCGGCCTATTTTAAACACTTCCAACACGCTCTCGCGCCAAAATACTCCAATCCCAACGGTTGGGCGGCGTCACACACGGCTGGCACAAGGCTGCTGCCGACATAAATGCCGTGTTGGGCCCGGTGAAGAGCACCGGTACCACGTGACGTGTTTCATGATGACGGCTGCTGGCGGTTGGCAAGGGTGGACGGCGCTTACATGGCACGGGCGGCTACGCGGCGCGGCCTCTCAGCCACTCGATGTGCGTGAAAGCACGGCGCCGTGCTTCCTCGCATGCAGATGGTTGGCTGAGCTGACCTGCGCACGCACGAGAGGTGCAGATTGGAGATGATATGGGTTGAGCGTGCTGATGACGCAGGTGAGGATGCGATGATACTGCATGGGCGGTTGCGAGGCGCTGGTGTCGTCGCGGGGGGGAAGCGAAGAGCCAGGACTCGAGGAGGAGGCGGTTGATATTGTTCATCGTCTTGGCCTTTATTGTTTCTGAGAGTCTGCTCTTGCCCCTCGCAATTTTCATTTCGCCTATTATCGTTGTCTGGATATGGATGTGATGCTGGTCGTCTGCTGTGCTAGACGGTTCTAATTAGGTGAGTGCGAGCTCGTCATGAATCACGATGGCCTTGAGTGATCCCTCACAGCCGTGGCGACTAACACGCCGCAGATGCCTCGCTATAGAATGTCCAGTGCCCGATTGCTGCTGTTGTCACTCGTTTCTACAGCACTGGCCGCCGAGACATTCCATCGAAAGTCCAACCTCACTGTCGCACTGGCTGATGTGGTGCCCGCCTGTGCGGAGGACTGCTTCATCTCGTTTCTCAGTGCAAACTATGGTCTTGCGCGGGGCGAGGAGATTCCGTCCCTCGAGGACCTCTGCTCCACGGATGGCAACACGGGATTCACGGTTGGGGAGGGCGCGGTGCAATGTATTGCCGCCGAGCAGAGGGTGGGAGCGTGCTCCGACAAGGAAGCCGACTGTGAGTGTCATGTTTTATACATACAAGACGGTTGTATGAGGCTGTGCTGAGACTAACGGGGTTCATCTTCTTTCAAAAGCAATGTCTAAAGCATACTATATGTGCAGGGACGAGCCCGGCGCTCTTACACCCACCCACGGTGTCATCACGGCCACGCTGGCTGTGCCGCCGTCCGGAGGAGGACCTATATCGTATCCCGCGCCTTCGAAAACGAAAAGGCCATTTACACGGATGCACCCTCCCACGACTTTGATCATTGAAACGCACTCTCCGACGTTTTCGCCCTCCTGGAGCCCCGATACCACCTTAAGCACGGCTGTTGTGAGCACCACCACGGAAATCACGGGGACCAGCTCTTCCACGGCAGAGCCTGCGGCGGCTGCGTCTGGTGGTTCCATTACGCCGGTCCAAAAGGCGGGTATCGCAGTGGGAGTAATTGGCTTTGCGGCCGTTGCCATTGGGCTTTTATTATTGTTCAGGCTGTACAGGGCGAGGAAGAAGCGTGGGGGACACACACCATTGGCGAGCTCGCCGCGGAGACGAGATTCCTGGGGATACAAGTTTGACAAGAGCCGTCGGGAGAGCAGCAGCGAGCCATCATGGATGGCGAACCCAGTTCATCCGCCGAATGATTCTGCTCAGGGGTCATCTGCAGCTGCAATGACCGGCGCGATAGCAATAGGGGGACAAGCAGGGGCGAGGACACAGCAGCAACCACAACCACAACCACAAGCGGCGATGCCAAAATCACCGCCGCCAAGGGCGTACAACCGGTCGAGTTGGCGGCCGAGCCTCATTGGTCTCGCCCTGTCGCCCTCGCACTCCAAGCACACCGGCCAAGGCACAACAACACCGACGCGGCCCATCTCGAAGCTTCTCCCTGCCAAGCCGATACTCTCCTTGGATATTCCCAAGAAGCCGCCTACGCCGCCGCCAAAACATACACCACCGCCCCCCGGATCGTCCTTCAGGAAGCAGTCAGCGACGACTCTATCGCCGGAATACACACGGATCGCATCCCACCCCCCTGTTCTGCCGAAGCTGCAGATTCCGCAGGGACATGACTTCCTCCACATTCCCAAATCGACCAACAAGCCTCGCGAAAGCACAATGACCGAGTTCGAAGAGGACGGACGTGAGTCATCGACCGTCTTCTCGCCGGAATCTCAGATCTGGAGTGCCCCTTCTGCCGCGCCCTCGTCTGCCGCTGCGAAGTGTCACGCTGTTGACAGGCATGGGAACTGGATGCCCAGTGATTCGAACCTTGTGCAGGCTGCAGAACTGGAGGGCACGACGCCACTGAGTGCGTATCCCAAGCTGGCTACGAGCATGGCCGTCCTCCCGGTTGGGACGAATGGCCGAGGTGAACAACCTGGCCAAGGGACCGCGAAACGTCCCTCTCACCGCCGCTCGTCGTCTGCGCCTATGCCACCTAATCCCGCCCAGCAGTCCATAAGGGTGGTGACCGAACCGCTCGCGACACTGAAGGATGGTCGGGATAATGTCATCCCGAGGCCCTTGTTCTCTGATATGGGAGGGAATCCTCGAAACGCGTCGGCGACTGCTTCTGCGAGGCATTCCTTCGGCCGGAGCTTGACGAGACCCCGGGCCGCGTCTGGGGATAGCGGGATCACAAATATCAGTGTTTCGTCCGACGAGGAGCATGAGCTACAGCCACCCAGGGGGATGTCGCAGGCAAACTTGTCTCCGGTAACGGAGTCGCCCCGTTCAGGAAACGGCAAGTCCCCGGTATCGTATCCCAAGATCCCGGGCAGAGAGAATGGCCTCTCCGGCAAGGAGAGATCGGCCCAACCGCCAAGAATGCCGATTTTGTATAAGTCGGCTCACCATAGGACTGCGTCGGGAGGGATAGGAAACAGCGTTGCCATGCTGACAGTTGGGTCTTTGGCTCCGAATCCCAACCCGAACATATCTAAGGACACGAAAAATGCTACTAGTACATCGACGGCAATGGCTGGGCCGGCGCCGAATGCATTCAAACCCATTATTCCTACTGCCAAGGTCACTACAGCTTCGCCGCACCAGTGGGCGAGTGCGTCTCGGGGGCCACGGACAATGCAGAATCCGGGCCTCCCTCGAACTGGCTCCCCGACGATGCGGATTGTTGAACCTTCACCCGAGCCTGACGATGACAGGGCTATGCTCCCATCCGCCCGACCTCGAAGCGTGCAGAGTGTACAGCAGTCACAGCCTCAGAGGCAACAGACTCAGTTGCAGCCTTCCCCGTTCCCGGCTTCGCAGCAACGAAGTCAACAGGTGGCGACACCGGCAGTTGAGCAGCGGCCGGAATTCCAGGCCCGATCTAAAACGCCAGCACCGGTACAAAGTCAACCGTATTCTCAACCCTATCAACATCCGATACAGCCTCAACTACAGCCTCGGGCTCAGAACGAAGCTTGTCCGCAGCCACAACCACGGCCACAGCAGCAGCAGCAGCAGCAGCGTGTACAACAAGCTTCTCAAGCCCAGGCTCAAGCTCGAACAAGCCCGGTAGGACAAAGCCAGCAACGGCAAATTGCTCCCTCACACCCACCTCACGTCCGTCAACACCAAATTCGCCCGGAGCAAGAAGCTTTCCCACATCAACAACACGGACATGCTACACAACCTCACCTTCAGGTTCGACCAACCCCTTTACAACGGGAGAACCAAGAATCCCCCCTATCCCAAGACCCTCCTACTCAGGCTCAGCCAGAAAAGGGAGCTGCCCAACTGCAACAAGAACAACCACCTCAACGAGACACTCGGCCACAACAGCCACCGAGAGACAACCACCCACCACAAGCGCAAACGCAACAACCACCCCCAGTACAACAATCCCAACGGCCAGACGCTCCCAACTGGATCCCCGGCCTGCCCGCACATCCTCACCCCCTCCGCCGGCCTCAGCACACGAGCACACTCTGGCTACCGCCGCAAGCGCGCAAGCGCGACTCCCGCAAGAAGAGGAAGACGATCGAGACAGAGCCAGACCATCACGAGCAGTCTCCCATGCGGCCTCTGCGGCGACAACCCGTACATCCGCCGCCACAATCGCAATTCCAAGCCCGTCAGTCGTTCCAAACTGCTCCATTCCAACCACAGCAGAACCACCAACAGCAACGCCCTGCAATTCCGCCGTTCAGAGCCCACCAGCCCATCCCCCAACACCAACAACCACAAGACCAAACGGCAGCAGATCCAAGCCAACAACAGATGTACATCCACCGCCCCCAGCAATGCGCCTACCCATACCCTGACCCCCGGCCCTATCCAAACCAGGGCCCGGGACACCACTACCCCCCTTTCTACCCTCGTCAACAACCACCACAACCACAACCACAACCACAACCGCAAGGCCAACCTCGACAACAATTTCAACAACCCCCACTAGACCAGTACTTCCTCCAGCAGCAGCAGCAGCAGCAGCCACCCCAGGTCT